TATAAAATGCCAACCCACGACCGACCAGCCAGTCCCTGGTCTCTCATTTCCTCTACTGAGATTACCATGAACTGTTTCAGGTGGGAGAAAAACTCTACTGAAACGGACTTGAATAGTAATTACTGTTTAATCAGAGCAAAAAGCAATTTAAACCAGGAGATGAGAAGCATGTCGAGTTCATGGACTTTTCTGTCCCAAACGAAATCAAACTCAGTTTCTGTCAAGTCAACCTCAGTGCACAGTGAATGCCAGGACATGGCAGAACCGTCCCATAGGTTTTCCTAGACTGGACATCTTGTTGGAAGCAGACTTCTCCATTGTTTTTCTGAGGACAGTTGGTGAGTTCGAACCTCTGACCTTTCAGTTAACCACCAAGTACTTTAACTGCTGCCCTAGGCCTCCCTTCCTGCCCATATGTTCTTTAAAGGGAAAAAACACCTGATTTGGTTGAACAATTGATTTTAAGAAATGGCACATGGTGGTCATTTTCCGTGTGAATTTACACAGCTGCCTCAAACTGTACTGCTCTGTAGGCGTGTCTGTGTTCTTTCCCCTTCGAAGGATGAATGTAAACTGGGAAGACGGCGTGTGCAGGGTCACGGGGAGGTTGACCCTGCTCAGGTTGTTTCTAGGTGAGACGTAGAACCAGGTGTAGGGTACCTTCTTCTCACATTACCCTACACATCATGTCCCCTGTAACACGGATCAATCATGGAAGACACGAGGCCTTGGAGGCATGGTTAAAACTGCACCAACATGACTCCAGCATTAATATCATAATGGAGTCCTGTTGGTGCTGAAGGATGAGCACTGGCTGCTAACAGCAAGTTGGGCGGTTCAAAGCCCCCAGCTGCTGTATGGGAGAAAGATGAGGCTATCTGGCCCCATAAAGATTTGCAGTCTTGTAAACCTATATGTATAGGGTTGTTATGAGTTGGAATCAACTCAATGGCGATGGGTTTGGCTTTTCCAGTGTCACAAAGCTTCTGAGTCAGCACAGCATTCAGAGAGCAGAATGAAATTGCTACAGTAGAACATATTTAAACCAAATACATTTCAATCCGACTCTGGTTTTGGTGTGATAGACTCTAGGGGAGGATACAAAAATAGATGATGTCCATGATTAAGCGTGTAACTTTTATTGTTATTTCCTGTCATGGAATTTAAAAACCAAGAATTGCTGAACCAGGGTGTACCACATGCCCGCTCCTTCTGGTATGCCTCCCTGCTGAGAATTTGCCTTTCCACTGCAGGCATACTCAATCAAAATCTACAGACATACCCACTCAAAATCTACAGTATACCAAGATCCCCCAGGGCATTCTCAGATCCTATGCGTCCCTTGAGCATATTGTTGAAATGTAGCCACTGATCCAGTGTCTGAGTTTCTGGGTGTGGAACAGCAAGTTCTTGGCCGAGGGTTAAACTGGAGAGAACCGATTTGAAGTCGAGTGATGAAATCGCAATCCCATTCCACAAATGAGCCACTGCCTCGAATTTATCCCTTACGCCTCCGAGATCTCAGGTCCTTGGTGTGGAAAGTGTGTCCGAGTTGAGCCTGGAGCTTTCTCTTCTCTGGCTTTGGTTCACTGTTGCTTTGTGAACTGTTCGTCCGTCTCTTCGTTTTTCAGCCTGTTGTTGTTGTGTATATTTAAACACAATATAGCTCGCGAGAACTCTCTGAAGATGGATAACTATCTTTTGTACAAATAGCTTTCCAGCTATCCCATTTTCATGCTCTAAGAAACCTCCACGATCATTTACGCACCCATACCTCCCATAAGTGTCTGCTGCCTGCCTGTGTTTCCTAAGCAGCGAGACGCGAAGCTGATGGCCCCCAGTGCTGGTGCCAGAGGGCCATGTCCAGGACTTTATTCCCTTTGAACAATCTGGGAGGTGGAACAAAGGATTCTCAGCTGGTGAACGGCCAACCAAAAAATGGGCTGACACAGTATGACTGCTTAGCTTGCGTCGAAAACATGGGTACGGCGAGCCTTCATTCTGCCCCTAGAAACCAGAGGCTAGCTCTCACGGAATTGTCAGATCTGGGTCTCGCCTTGCTTTCCATTCTCGCAATGTTTCCTTTTTGAAAGTGCTTAGCTTCCTGTGTAAGAGATTCAAGTTCCCCGGTACTCCGCCCCTCTTCTGTTTCTAATGGTCCTTGAAACGGAAAGGAAAAGACGTTGAGTTTCCTTATTTGTGCTTGGATCGCCTACTCAGTGCCTCTTAGGAGGACAGCTGGTGACCTGCAGCTCCCTCTTCAGAGGGAGAAGGCACATTCTTGGGACGCTGGCATCTAAACATAGAGGTTTCCAAACAAAGACATACGTGGTTAGGGAATAATCCCCAGTCTGGCTTCAAGCATTCCTTTAAAGCAAATCCTCAGTTTCTAATTTCTCATCACTTTGGCCTCATGGGTGAGGTTTGCTTTTATGAACGTAATCCCCTTTTTAAAGGCTAAGCTAAAATCGTCATGTTGCCATCCTGAGTGTGAGGGCAGTGTCTATCACACAATGATACTTTTAAATAATGGCATCTGGCTTCAAAATCTGGATGAATTTTTTCTCCTGAAACGAGGGTAGTTCTAATGGTCCTTTCGCTGCTGCTTTAATATGAAGTGCTCGCGGTGGTGAGAATGTGTGGGTTCATGTCCTTCGCTGGCAATTCCCTTAAGGACCAGAGATGTCTCCAAGTGGTTCTCAATATGACCAAGTCCCAAAAAACTGCCATATGCATATCACTCATTTTTTCTTTTTACTTCTGATCTTAGGGCTTCCTGGCTTAAAACTGTTGTCATTATTAGCTTCAGCAATGATTTTTTTTTTTTTAGTAAGAAAAAACATTTTCCCCCTTTGGCAGAAATTGGCTTTCTTTTGTAGAGATAGCTTTAATTTGTGTCTTAGTCCGTTTGTGTCTCTGCATTAACCCAAGGAAACCTTTAGTTCTGTCAACCCAACCAATCATGTAAGTGGGGGAGTTAAAACAGACAAACAATATATTAAGCTAGCTTTGATTGAGATTCCCTCTCTGTATATTAGAGATTCCAAGCATATTAGTGTATAGGTCAAATTCTTGTCTTTAGGATATTACTGATGTGATAAGATTACATTCTTTATAATGGTTTCTGAAATGTGGCTGGATTCATTGAATAAATGGCTGTAACCACAATAATAACCTGCAAAAACTCCACCATATGGTAATGGATTAGCATGTGGAGTTGAAGGGCACTGGATAGAAGTCAGAGAAGATCTGCCCCAGCTCTGCCAGAATAGCTGGCTTCTAGTCTACTTGGTCTTGAATTTTCTCATGTTTAAAATGAGAGTAGAGGGAGGTTGGACTACAGTTTCTGAATTCTCTTCCAACTGTGAGAAGCTGGAGACTGTACCCTTAAATAGAGTTCAGTTGTCTTTTCTTGACTTTGGAAGATGTTGTGAACCTTTAAAGCAGTGGTTCTCAACCTATGGGTCGCGACCCCTTTGGGGATCAAATGATCATTTCACAGGGGTCGCCCGATTCATAACAGTAGCAAAATAACAGTGATGAAGTAGCAACAAAAATAGTTTTATGGGGGGGGGGGCACCACAACACGAGGAACTGTATGAAAGGGTCTCAGCATGAGGAAGGTGGAGAACCACTGCTTTAAAGCAACATTCCTTAGGTTTCTGTCTCTTTTGGTTTCAGAAAATAGTTTTATTTAATCTCATGGCAAAAAAGCACTTTTTAGTGTATTTGGTCTTGCTATGAAATAGGAAATAAAAGATTTAACGGATGAAATGACTAATTCGTTTAGCTTTTCCTATTCATTGTTGCAGTCAGTCATTAGCTCCTGAGACTTCTAGCAGCCTGGGCTTCACCCGAGACACACACGGTCTCTAACCAGGACTCTAACCTGGTTCCAGGTGAGCGTGATTTTCCCACTAAGAGCAAGTGGATCCCAGTGCCCCAAGAAGGAGGTGATGGCCCAGGATCCAATTGTCTGCTGAGTGGACATATCTGAAAAATTCTCTTTGGAGCAAACATACGGCTCTCAAATTTTCAATCACATCCATAAGTGAGGAGTGGCTCTTTAGGAAGATGTAACTATGCAATAATGTAACAAAACCGGTCAGCAGCAGCTCATTTATTATGGGACTAAATGCTCATTACTGTTGTACAGGATGAATCTGGAACCTTCATGGAGTTGTCTTTCCTCCATAGTTGCTTTCCATGAATGTCCTGGTGTAATCGCAATGTCAAGCTTTGATTTCCAAAGCTCTCGTTTTCTCTTAGGTTGTGGTCAGTCTCTGTCTTTAAGAGAATGGTTGGTCATTAGAGAAAGGGAATAGAACTTAAATTGGGGAAGAAGGAAAGAGTCGTTTCAGAAATTCTAAACAAACGATAAAACAAATGACGGAGCAAGTCCCGTGGAAAGTCTTACTAGAGAATAGTCCGCACCATATGTGTAGCTTACATGCTTCCGCCAGGAGCAGAGGGACCAGAAAAAACTGGTCTTTGCAGCTGAGGGTACTTAAATCGGGGACATCTTGAACTGAAATTGTTGTAATTTTATGTTGCAAAGCAGCACTTTCTTTATGTAAGTGGAATAAAAAAATAAGTGCCCACTTGGGCGTTTTCAGGGTCCTTTCAGGCAAATGCGTCTAATTACTAGCCCTGTGAGTTTCTAATTTAAAATGAGGAAATAAATCACTCCTTGAGGAATTCCTGTTTGTTTGGAAGATTTGTATGGAGAAGGGCACATCATTCCTTCTTGGAACTTTTTACTTCCTCAAGGCCAGCGTTTCTGTTCCAGATAGCTCCCCATTTTGGAAGACAGGGGATCCAGGGATCCAGAATCTGGTACCCACCGAGCTGACCCCTGAGAGGGCAGTTGGGATGATGTGGATAGGACAGAGGGAGAGGCACTATTTTCCTACCAGTTTGGACTGCGATCCATTAGGTCAGCAGTTCGAAACCATCAGCAGCTCCTCAGCAGAAGGATGGGATTTTCTGCTCCCGTAAAGAGTTAGTCTCAGAAACTCAGTGGGGAAGTTCTACCTTGTTCGATGGAGTTGCTATGAGTCAGCATCGACTCGATGGCTATATGTGGTGGTGGGTTTTGTATGGGCAAAGGAAACACTGGGTAGAGCACAAACGGTTAAGTGCTAAGCTACTGATTGAAACGTTGATGGTTCAAATCCACCCGGTAGAGCCAATGAAACCCTTAGCAGGCACAGAGATTGTCATTTAAATGGAATGGGAGCCCACATGGGTAGTAAACTAAGAAGCACTTTAATCTGAAGCAAGTGGAAAAGTAGAGACCCTTTCCCGGACCTTTGGAGAGTTGTGAAGACTCGCTTTTCCTTATCCTGTGGCAGAATCTTCTCTTTCGCAGGCTACCATTGAGGAGAGCAGGGAGAGCCAAGTTTGGGAGAAGGGGTGAGACCCAGAAAGGGGGGGGGGCATGGCAGGTGCAGCAGGAGGGAGCATGAAAGTTTACTGAATAAAGAACCTCTTAAAAAATGGGTCCTGCCCCATTCTTCCACACAGGCAATTGGATGAAAAGCAGACGTATTATTACATCCTTAAACACAGTTCCTTTCTGATTCCATCACGGTGATATAATATGCCGAATATCAGGCCACCCATCAACTGATGTATTTCTAAGGTGAATCTTTGGCAAAAATGTGGACCTGCTGCAATTCAGATGATGTTCTTTCAATCATGCTAAAACTCACTGTTCTTCACGGATATTCCCATGAGCTTTAAGTCTTCCTTTTGCTTCCTGTCGCAGCCAGGCATTCCGAGGTACATGTAGGTTCGAATGGCTTTGGAAGACACGTGCTGAAAAGAGAAGTGCATGTAAAGCATCTAGTCTTTCAGCTGATTTGGCATGAAGCTGCAGGGCCTGAGTAAATCGGAAAATAGCAAATTCCTTGAAACCCTATAGGTGAATGTTAAGACACATAGGTAGAGGAGTGGATTCAGACAAACAGGTCTGCATTATACCCCGATGTTCTGTGAAAAGGCATCAAATAAGGCCACAGATACAGAAGTGAGCTTCTATGTTGTTTTTTTTTTGGGCAATGATTTCCCATTGGCTTCATGCTCCCAGGTGGACGAGATGTGGGAAGGGAAAAAAAAAAAGAAAGAAAAACAATGGCCTTTTACTTCGTTTCCAACACAAAGCTGACATCTGGCTCAGCACCTTCACGCAGTGTGCAGCGTGCCCGTGTCAGGCTGGCAGGAGTTGGTGACAGTTGGCTGACTAGCAGGCGGTGCTTGGGAAGGTTCCCGGAGTGAAGGCGCAGCCTCGGGGTGATGAAGCGAGTTCCTTTCTGGCCACACGCCCTCCTTTTTTGACAGGAGCTTGGACCCAGGTATTGGTGGCCATGCTCACCCTTCCATGGCACAGGGGTTCTCGAGCTTGGACCCAGGCATCGGTGGCCATGCTCACCCTTCCACGGCACGGGGGTTCTCGAGCTTGGACCCAGGCATCGGTGGCCATGCTCACCCTTCCACGGCACGGGGGTTCTCGGCAGCCTCAGAAGACTGAGCAGCAGCCGTGACCCTGGGGGCAGCATTTCTTCTTCTTCTTGGGGTGGAAAATGGTGAGGATCGCCTCATCGAAGACGGCTTTGAGACCTTTCTGGGTCAGCGCTGAGCACTCCAAGTAGCACTGTGCTCCAATCTGAAACACAAAAGCGACAGTCATGAGATGGGGGGATGCCCGACAAGGAGCGCCCAGAGCGCAGTGCTGTCAGCCCTTTGGCCAGCCCCTTACGACGCCTAGGGACTGGTTTAGATATCACTTAACCCTCCCATGTAAATCTCAATAGACCCTTGGAGTTGTTTGTTTTATTAACGTCTTTTTTCTTTGTTTGTTTGCTTTGTATGACATTAGCAATGAAACCCTTGGGGGATCCAAACCCTCAGTGCTGCTGGTTGCTAACCGAACGGTGGGAGGATGGAGTCTGCCCACCTGAGGTGCCAGACCATGAAGAGCTGGTGTTCTCTGTGCGACAATCCAGTCACTGGTGATCATGAGGGGAATGGCTCTACACTTATGTACCTGGGCTTACCGAGAGTTGGGGTCAATTCTATGGCAAGCTTTTAAAAAAATTGTTTTAATACTAGCAATAAATGGTTGTGGATCACTTTTGGCAAGTGATAGATTCCAAAAGTGACCCACCACCATGTGTTCCTAATCTAAGAATGTAAAAACCACACACATGTTAAAAATCAAGAGCTAATTTAAACGTCTTTTGTGTAAGACCAGGCTACTTGCTTTTAATATCCTTGCACCCGTATGAAGAATGTGTCTGTCTGTACAAGTAAAATGTGTTGCTCTCTGTGTTTGGGAGGAGAACTTGGTTGATAGAGGGCAGGAGTGGATGGCTTTGTGAGCCACACTTGGTTGAAACATGCTTTTGAATACAGTGTTCCTTGGTAAGAAACATCTGCTTGTCATTTTTCTTGAGGATTAGCTCATTTTAAAATAAGCAAAAGTGGTAACACTGATATTTTTTGGTTAAGGTTTTCTGTTGAAGCTTTCGATGATTTCATACTGCAGGGTATCTGATCATTGCAAGATCCCTGTGTGAATGAGAGAAACCCAGCCTAGAATCACAGATTCTGGTTGGGAAACCACAGGCCAGCGCACACCAGGTTTGGCAGGCAGTTTTGTGGGAAAGAGACCTCTCCTGTGATCAGTGATACAAGCTCAGCATGAGCCATCCATATGGCAGCGCAGGCATTTTACCACTCAGGACGTTTGGAGCGATGCTTCTATTGTGGGCTTTACATGATCCAGGTAACTGACAATAAGGCAGAACCCGCAGGGGAGGGACTAGACGGGCAGTTCCCGGAAACCACGGCAGATACATAGCTAAAGCGGGAAAGCCAGCTTGGATTCCTACCAGGGCCAGTCGACCACCTCCCCTGCCTGCCCATGATTCCCCAATGGGTCAAGTTTGGCTCATCGTGACCCTCTAGAACGGAGTAGGTTTGCTTCTTTGGGTTTTTGAGACTGTAAAACATAGCATCATTGTTTTTCCATAGGGTGACTGGTGGATTTGAACTGCTGACCTTGTGATTAGCAGCCCACTGCTAAACCCACACCACCACTAGGACTCCTTATGAGGGCCAGTAGCTGTTGTCCCCATGCAACTCTGAGTCTGGTGCATGGCAGTAAAGAGAGGGGAGGATTGCTGTGGAGTATAAAGTCTGTGACCCCTCAAGAGATAGCAAGTTTAACTCAGCTCTAGACCATGGGTGCCAGATGGGAATATTAGTTCACTGAGCTGGAAACGCAGATTTTTGTTGAACAAATTTAAAAGCAAAACATTCATGTGGGATGTATTTGGCAGCAGCGAGCCAGTATTTTCGATGTCGGGACTAAAGGAATTGGTGGTTTCGCTTTAGGATGGTGTTGGAAGAGAGCCAGAGGGTCAAGGGAATTGTTCGTGGTCAATGAACTTGGAAGAGAACAGCCTAGACCTGAAATTTAGATCCCCTGATTTTCCCCCACCCCCACTCCCACCCCTTGTTCCATAACAGTATTTGGGACACTTACCATTCACTTTGTAAGTAGCTAGTCAAGTTACAATTGGCAAAGTGACATTTTCTATTCATCCAGAGGGTACCAGAGAAGAAAACAAACCACAATCTTCCAGGGGCTTTGCTGGATACCCCAAGAGAAGCTAGTCGGGGCCAGAAAAAAATATTTCCTAATTTTTCCCAAAGACATTATGTGCTCTCCACTGCCCCGCCCTATTGAGAAGGGTTACCATTTGGGCCAAAGGAAATACCAACAGAAACGATGTTGGCTGTTGAAAACCGCTTTTATGGCTTTCATTTTGACTATGGTCTGGCCTTTGGATTAGGAAATAACTTTTGTTTTTCTATTCATTGAAACCAAAAGGATCAAGAGGAGGGATAAAGGGCAGAGAGCCTGTTCCTAATATCCTGAAGTCCGATCTTTGTAATTCAGGATTGGGTCCAGCGTTTGACCGGAAGGTGAGAAGAGCGCAGGAAGCTAGTGAGTGTGTCCACGTGATGCCCGGCTTGCTCGTGAAGGGTCCCTCGGTCATTCTGAGCAAGGACCTGGGAAGCACGGGGTGGGGGCTGTGCTGCTCCTGGAACACCTCCCCACCAGGGACCCCAAGCCTCAGGTTCTTCTGATTCTGGAACTGTAGCGGTGCTGGCCTCACCCATGGGGCTCTGCGATGGGCGCCCTCCACTCCGCACCTACACGGTGGACAGTCTGGCAGAGTTTGCCTTTGGATGGTGCAGGAGAAGCCCATACTTGTCTTTCCTTGTTAAGACGCGTCTGGTGATCAAGAATCAATAGATAAAGACATCATTGTGATTGAGCTGGTATAAGATGCTGTTGTACTGAAAGTTCCCAGAATAGCAGCAAACAGACTTTGGGTGTGGTTTGGGAAAGAGGTGTGAGAGATAGAATCGGGGTTAAGTAAGAGCGAGAGGGTGGGTATTCTTATCAAAAGGGTGAGAGAATTCATTCTGGCTCAGGGAAAAGGCAAAGCCCAAGTCATCTTAAAAAAAAAAAAAGGAAATGGAAGAGCTTCTCAAGGAAATTATAGTGGCTTTTCATACAACAGTGACTTCATCTGTCCCTTGGAGCAAAGCCATCTACACAGACAAATATTTAGACTCGATTTGTAAATACTTAGGATTTGAGGATCCTTGCTTTATATACACATGTCTGCAGTCGGGAATGTACTTACCAAAATGATTTGTTTTCCAGAAATAAGAGATTAAGAAATGTACTGCCCCACCTCCCCGATAATCTTACAATAGCTACACTGAAAAAACTGGGGAATTTATCAGAGATGTGTAGAGAAGATTCCAGAAGTAATCTGGAATAAGAAACAGAAGCCATTATTAGCCAAGTGGAAGAAAGTCTAGTGCTTTGTCCAGGTTGTCCTGGATATGGCAATGGGACATGTTCTAGAACGATGCGTAAAGTGTAGTTGGAAGCAATGCAGGCAATCCCCAGGGTATGCACATTTGATTTACAGACAACTTTTAGTAGCCCTTTAATGCAGGGCTTCAAACGGGTTGTCATGGCTGACAAACGGAAATGAGGACAGACCTGAAGTCTTACAAATTGGGTGATTCATCATGGTAACCCGAATGGGAAAAACCACAGGTTGGAAAGCTGGAATGGGAGACCCAGAAAGGCGGTCCCTATCAGGAGCCTGATGTGTGGGAGACTGGATTATTGACAGGGCTGTGGAAAGCCACACACATTCAAAGCCACCATGTAAGAGAAGGGCACTGCCCTCTGTTGAGAAGGGCAGCACTGTTTCACCCAAAAAAACAAACCCACTGCCTTAATTCTGACACAGTGACTCAGGTAGGGTTTTCCGGACTGTACCCCTTTACTAGTGCATATAGCCCCAGACTTCCCTCGGAACCACAAACCTCACAGTCAGCAGCCAAGTACCTAGTCCTGCTTGAACAGCATGTAGATTCTCCCTTCACTCTGAAACAATTGACCTAATCCCTCAGAACTCTGGAATGAGCTGCCATCGACAGTGAGTCTATAGGCCAGCACAACTGTCATGTGGGTTTGAAGCATCGGCCTTGCAGTGAGCAGTCTAACACCTAACCCAAAGCACCACCAGGGCTCCTTCAGGTTGGATAAGAACCATAGGAGCTCGTTCTGATTGACATACCAATTCTTAAACCAAGATGGTAGCTCCAATAGTTTGTTGAGCTAGATATCATACTACATTAGCTGGTTTCAGCTTGTAGAAACCTTACCAGGCATGTCTATATTCTATAAACCTACTGATATGTCTACATCCTACAGTCATATCTATATTTGGCAGATCTGTCTGTCATATCTGGATGTCAGAAAATGGTTGCCTAGAGAGGGGTAGCAAGCTCCTCTCCCAAAGCAGATCTGAGGCTTAAACTTCTTTCCTGTCTTAACTCTCTGCGGTGCTATCTACAGAAAAGGAGAGGACATTGTGGCTGACGAGAGGAAACTAACTGGCAAACGGGGAAAGCTGTTACGGAGGACAGTGAAGGTGAGGAGAGCAAGGGGCAAGGCATTCCTATCAATCAGTGGTTCTCGACCCTTTCAGACAGTTCCTCATGTTGTGGTGACCCCCAATCATAAACTTATTTTCGTTGCTACTTCATCACTGTCATTTTGCTGTTATGAGTTCATTCTGTTATGAATCGGGCGACCCCTGTTATGAATTCATAACTGTTATGAATCGGGCGACCCCTGTGAAAGGGTCCTTTGACCCCCAGGTTGAGAGCCGCTGCTGTAAATGGAGAGAAGCCATACCGAAATGGACAAAACAGAGTCTCGAAAGGTTAGATGAGAAGCTTAGGGAGCAGCAGCTTTGTGTTCGTGGCGGATTCATTTGGAAAAGGAGAGTTAGAACCGTTAGGTACTTAAAGCAAGCAGTGTCACTAAAATGTACGTGTGGAATTTATATGAAATAGCACATCCTTTGTAGATACTCACAAAAGACTAAAAAATAATCCAGAGATTCGGTGTAAGAAGATGCCTCAAACCTATGTTTTGTTGGTCAGATTCTGAAAGGAAAAGAATGAAGGAAGAGAAGGTAGTGGTGACAGAGGAACCGTTTTCTGTTCTGGTTGGGCCACGGTCCAGCGGTGTGACTTTAACCTGAGACTGTTTCTCCCAGGAGAGTGGAGACAGTAATATACACGTCTTGGGGGGCTGCTGTGAGGTTTAATTAAGACGGCATGTAGAGAGTTTGGCACCATGCCTAGCGCTTTGCACACACTCCATAAATGCTGCTTGCTATTATAAATGCCTTGACAGAAAAGTCAGGGAGTCGAGAAACTTAAAGCATCTCTATAATTACATGAATTGTGATGAAACAAGTTAAGATCTCGCTTGGTTTTTCCTCTAAATTGAATTTTGTAAGCTAAACATGATTCTCCCTGTAACCGAGAGCAGTTGCTAGGAGAAACTGGCAAAAAGGAATAAAGTGGTGATCTCGGCCATTGTTCCTAAAATAAGTATAAAATGAGATGGGAGGGCTTTGTGATGGCTTCTTTGAGCAAGGGGAAAGACCAGCTGCCCAAGTGCAGAAACCAAGGCAGCAGATGGACAGGGTGGTGGTGGGTAGACAGACTCAGAAGCGCAGGACTTAAGAAGCCGAGTGTAGCCAATGGGACCCACCTGGCTATGTGAAATAGATAGGTATCCCAAACGATGACTGAGGGAGCTAGATTCTTGTACCTTCATGAAACATTTCAGGCAGAATGTTGGACGTGGTAGAAGAGCAGATAGACATGTACCCATGTTCTTGGAGGGAAAAAAAAATCAACAGTTGGAGAGAGAATCCCCGGCTTGTGCAAACAGTTGTACTCATCTGCTAACACAAGGGCTGGAGGTTGAGTCCACCCAGAGTTGCCTCGGAAGAAAGGCCTGGAGATCTGCTACTGAAAATCCACTCACTGAGAACTCCGTGGAGCACAGTTAAGACTCCAATGTACACGTGGTTGCCAGGAGTGCAGTGTCCTTTCTGGCAACCGGTTTTGAAGAGGAGGTGGTTTGGTTTACACCATGGTCAAGTGCATAGGTGGTGAGGTTGGCCATGGATCAGAATCCTTGGGCTTTGTTATCAAACGTGTGTGGATCTCTTTAAGACTCTGCTTCCTCATCCATGAAGTGAGGAAAGCAGTATTTGTTAAGGAGGATTTTCATGAGACTCAAATGAGATGGAGTCTGAGAAGTTCCTACGCCCATAGGTTATGGACATCTGACTTATGGACAGTTAGGTAAAATTGTTCTCCATTGTTTTTGAACCAACCCCTATGCTCAACAAAGTCTTCATTACCATCTTCACTGCAGGACACGAAGGTTTCAAATAATCGAGAAGGTTCTACACTATATCTTGCACTACAGGCTACATAAGCACGGTCTGCACCTGCTCTGACTTACCTACACATTTTTTGACTTAAAGACAATATTGGGAATGAATCTCGTAGGTTGGAGCCTGCTGGTACTTGTAGCCTAAGCATTCCTTGATTGGCACAAACTAGTAGCACTAATGTGACTATTCACAGAAGTAGGAAGAGTTTACTATCTCATGAACTGTATTTCTAAAAAGGTAATTTTATGTAATTCACTTTTATTGACAGCGATCATTTTTAGCTGGGTGGCTTGGAAGCCTGTGTTAATAAGATAAATGCATACATTTGTGTTCATGAAGAAAGTGTAGTTAATCTTATTCTTTAACAGGTTTAAAGAGGTTGACGCCTAGATTTGCATGGGGCATGAGCTTTATAGAGTTTAGAAGATGAAACAGAAACATTTAAAACCTCTGATGTTGGATTGATGGATTTTTGACTAAATGAATGAGAAATTGGATTCAGATTATGGAAATGTGAGGGAGATGCCTCTTGTTTAAAGAACTTGAATCCTCTTCTGCCTATTTCGTGTCTGCTTTGTATGCCCCAGGAGTCCTGGTGGCATACTGGCTATGTACTGGGCTGTGAGCAGCAAGGTTGACAGTTCGAAACCAGCACCTGCGCTGATGGGGAAAGTCAGGGCTTTCTACTCCTATAAACAGGTACAGTCTGGGGAACTTACAAGGGCAGTTCTACCCTGTTCCATAGGGTCTCTATAAGTTGACATCAACTTGATGGCAGTGAGTTTAAAAAAAAAAAGTATGTCCTGGTGGCGCTATGGGCTAAAGCATTGGGCAGTTCAAACGTACATTCGCTGCTCTTTGGGAGAAAGATGAGGCTGCCTGCTCTGGTACAGATGCTATAGAGTCTCAGAAACCCTATAGAGGGTCACGACGAGTCAAACCGACTCGATGGGAATGAGTTTGGTTTGGGGTTTGTACATATCTTGGTGATAATGGGAAGACAAACATTTGGTAGTCTGGCAAATACTTGCTAATCTGTTTCCTTATCACATCCCTGTGCTTGCGAAGCTCTCCAGACTGTGAAGGGCTGTGAACACAGCTCCAGGTGCGAGCGGGTGACCGTGATCTGAGGAGCAGCCACCTGCATTCCTCCAGTGGTTATGTTTGGGTCTCCGTTCCTCTTCCAGATGCTTTTTGTGACCCAGCCCAGCGTCTCTAAGTGGCGATTCATAATACAGCGAGAAATGCTGAACAAACACAAGCCTGCCAGATGCTAATCCAAACGAACATAGCAAAATGCCTCATAAAGAGGGGAGGACACTTGAACGAGTTACATTGGTGTTAAGCAATGCGATTTATAAATATACATCTGATGACTCTTTCGTTATAGTAGACATGGCAAGTGCATGTTGCAGGGGCTGCTAAGTCAACTGAGAGGAACTTCAGCTGTTCAAATTCACCGTGTTTCTTTCTTAATGAAAAACAGACCATGCTGACCGGCAAGGCTGCTAACCGAATGGCCCTTTCCAGGCCTCCTAGAACGGAGGGGAGAACACGCAGCAGAGAAAAGACCCTAAACACACTCTCCTTTCAAGCCGTCCACTGCTTGCCCCTCCCCAACTCCTAGGCATATATCATCCTCTTTCCTCGGCCAGCGCACATGGAAAATGGAATGCAAAGGCACGGGTACCGATTTTGCAAGTTTCACCCCATGCTCGTAAGTGAGAGGTTTCTCTTTCATGTACAGCAAACGGGCCAAGGTTTTTGGGTCATCTCGAAGATCAATCTGGCAAAAAACAAAACACAAACATCCATGTGATAATTCCATTGTTTTTTTTTTCAGGCCTGACTAAATATTTCCAACTATGATATCATAGGCTTTCGCTCTTTGCCATTGCGTTTTCATTTCTGTAGGTACATGTACATATATATTTTGTCTAAAAGAGCAAAGTGTTTTTCTTTAAAACTGATACACCTTCGAGTTCCCTTGAATGATCCTGTTGCTGTTTGTGAAATTCCCTATTTTTAGATCCTATTTATGGGTCCTAGAGGATAATCAGTCTTATTACCTTAACAGTGGTAAGGTGGTAATGCCACTTTGATCCCCGATTATATTGCCCAACTGGACCTGACTCAGAAGTCACTTCCTGATTCTTTTGGAATCAGTCCCTCTCTGAGGATTTGCCACGAGGCAGAAGATTTAGCGAATGTGCTCTGTGGGCCCGAAGGCCCAGTCGAACCAAGCAAGGAGGTGTTTCTGAAGGGTTTTCTGCAGGAATAAGCATTAGCCCATTTTGAAGATAACATCTATTTGGGTTGGGTTCAATGATAATCTGACCCCTTGAAAGTCTCACTTTAAAGTGAAATTTTGCATACGTGAATGGGGGTGAATGTAGGTACAGGAGGACTCATCTTAAAAAATACATTCATGTAGGAGGGTCACACTTTTATACGTATGTTCAGATCGTGCCATTTAAAATAGACTCAAATGGCTGAAAGGTGTTTGAATGTCCCTCCACACAGCAGAGATCTAAATTCCACCAGTATGATCAAACGTTAGCAACTGAAATTTTGCACAAAAGGCTTTATTTAAATGAGTATTTTCAACACTAGAAGCATTTATAAATTTTGATTTATGAATGTATGAATTCTTTCATCTTGGCTCTAGCTAAATGCTCTATCTGTGTAATTTCACTAGGGAATATTTTCCTTTCCCTTATTTTTTTTTTTCAATTCTTTGTTAAGCCAAGCTGTAAACTGGAGGATATGAAAGGAGACAATGTATGAAACACACTAACAGGCCCCGTGGTTTTATTACCTTTCAATGCCTTTGGGTCGTCATTTGGATTTTAAAAAACCAACAAAGAACCAAGTCCACTTAAAGTCTAAAAGGTTGGAATAATCTTCAACACATTTGCACAATGGCTTATTGTTGGAAATTGAGACTATGCCATTTTATTAGCTTTGGAAACACTCCAAAGGCCATCATAATCTCAGGTTTGCATGTCTGCTTTGACCTAGTTTAACTTCTCTAAGGTCTCAGCAGACTGAGGGAGCTGAACGTAATGGAGAATAATGCATTTCTATCTTCTTTCTCCTGGAGTGTTATTAAAGTGTTCTTGTCATAATTTGCCCGTTCTGATCACTGGGGTCATTTTGACATTCACACCTATTTTTGCAACTTTAAAACAATTGCACATTTCACAGATTTAAAAAGGTAATACGTGCAATTCATAACCTCACCTCGTTCCTCTGGCTCAGGGCTGAAGGATGTCTGTTTCAAAAACCACCTTTTTTTTTTTAAAGCTGAGGATGTAATTGTTAAGGGCCATATGAAAACTTCATTTTAAATAGTTCTATTGTCTGTTTAAGTGCAGGCTAAGAGCCGCTGCCTTGGCCTGGAGATACTCATTTAGAGGGTTTTGGTAGACTATGAAGTTCACTGGGTTTCTGAAGCATTTTTATTCTGGCAACCTTTCCTCCCCGCCCCCTCCCCACCCTGCCGTCCCCGTGTATTCACCTGGGTCCCTATGAGAACGTAAGGCACATGAGGCATGCACTCCTTCAGCTCCGGGACCCATTCCTCCTGGACATTGTGGTAGGAGGCAGGATTTACCACAGAGAAACAGATCAGAAACACATCTGTGTTGGGATAGGAGAGTGGCCGCAGCTGGTTGTAGTCCTCCTGTGGGGGCAACAGACAAAAGTTTGCAGAGCCTGAGTAAGGGGGCACCCACGGGATTCCAGAGAGGGACACAGGCCAGATTCCATGACCGCTCCCTGGGATTGAAATCCACCTGCCCTGGAGGCTTTATGACTAGAAATGCAGGACCATCAGCCAGGGAAGCATTTTTGCCTGTTGTAGATGGAGAATGTGATTGTCTCCCCTTTAAAGATAAACTG